CCCCCCCCCCTCACCCAACCACCGCACACCCACCCCCTCCACCGGCATCCCTGTGTCCCCCATCCGTGGGGAGGGGATTTGTGGGGGGGGGTCCCTGGGTGCCCCCCAAAATACAAAACACACACCGGCCCCCCCCCTCCCTCCGCAGCCGCCCAGAAGATGGAGCAACCGCGGCCGCAGCCCCCAGAGCCGCGGCTTTGTGCTGTCCCTGGCGCGCCTCTCCTTTTGGGTTCAAACCCAGGGATTTTAGCTACGCTGGGACGACTCGGGTTTCTTATCAAATTATCGGGTTTTTTTTCCCAAAATTCCCCTTCCCTTTTTTGATTATTTCTTTTTTCCCCCTTTTTCTGCTGGTTTTCCATCAGTCAGCGTTGCCGGCGGCGTTTAATACAGGATGGGGGGGGGGGGAAAAAAAAAAAAAAAAAGCAAAACCCACCCTCTTTTGGTTAAAAATCCCCAAAGACACCAAACCCTCCCAGGTTTTGGCTCATTTCAACCAATTTAGCACTGCGAAAACCACAAAAATCACCACCCGAGTGGCATTTTGGGTAGTTTTTCCCCAAAAAGCCACATTTAAAAATGCAGTTTGGTGGCCGGCGCTGGGGAAGGGTGAGGGGTGGTGGTTTCCTCGCTCTGTTTTGGTGCTAGATTTAATTTTCACCTGGTTTTGGGTGGGTTTGGGTTGATTTTAAAGCCAGTGGCATGTTGGGGGGGATTTTAGCTTAAAATTTGCACTTGTTTCATCCCCACCGGTGGCAAAACGCGCGGTGTTTAAACCCGTTTTTATCCATTTCGCTCCTCTTTCCGCCAACCACAGATGTTGGTGCAGCTCGAGAACGTCCCGCTGAAATATTTGTGATTTAATAATTTTTTTTTTCCTTATCCGTCTCCTTTTGCACGTTAATAGTTGGGGTTTCTGGCAAATTGGTGGATTTTTGATGGTTTGTGTACGACGGAAATTCGGCATCGCTGCCCAGCGGCTCCAAAAATTGCTGCTGAAACTGGGGGTGAAACCCTGCTTTGATGCGCTTTTAAGAGGCAGCGAAAACAGCACAGAAAAAAAACGTGAAAACAGCTCGGAGACGCAGCAAGAAACGGTGCAAAAAAGGCGCAAAACGGCACTGAGAGACGCTGAGAAAACGGTAGAAAATACTGTGAAAACGGGGTGGAAAAGGTGCGAAACGGCGCCGAGAGACGCTGCAAAAACGGGCAGAAAAGGCATAAAAAGGGGCAAAAAAGGCACAAAACGCTGCGGAAACGGGACGAAGCTCCAAGGCGAAACTGCAAAAATGGGTCGAAAAAACTACGAATTGTCAGATTTTTAAGTGCAAGGGGGGGGATATTTTAACATTTTCCTCCCAGAACGCTCTGGTTGGAGGTCGGCGTCTTGACATCCTGCTGAAATTGGGCTTTTTTTATTTTATTTTACGGCATTTTGATTGCACGATGGTATTTTGGGGGAAAACGAGTGGATGTGACGGTGACGTGAGGGGACTTTGGGGACACATGGGGACTTTGAGGACTCCTCAGTGCCCCGTCACACCCAGAAAGTTTATTTTTTTTTTAATTAACCCACCATTCCAAAGGGTCCCCTTTTGGGGACAGTTTTTAAAGAGCCTGGGCACCGTGGTGGCGTTTTGGGGACCATTTTCATCATTTTCCATCATTTTTTCCCCCAGTTTTCTCAGTGCCTTTGACAACCCCTCGGATGTTGGGTTTTTTTTTTTCTTCCAAATTCAAACATTTTCAGCAAATTTTGATACCTATCATCCCGGAACAAGCTCTTGCCATGACAAGAACCCCTGAAGAACATCAGCCACCAGCTCCTTCCCGCCATGCCTGAAAACCAACAGGATTTCACCCTCCAAAAAAACCCCTTAAAAATTTCAACTTGCCTTTTCTCATCTTTTTCCATTTCCACCTGTTTTTGGTTTGTTTTGTTTTTTTTTTTTCCCTGGGTCTAATAAACAATATTACCATTTGCCTACCTCATTTTTGGGTTGAAATCATGCGTTTCGGCCATCCCATGCTCATCCAGGCGTGGTTGTTGCTTTTATTTTCCTCCTCCCCCCATCAACGTGGAAATGTGTATTTTCCTAAAAAGCCATTTCAGGACATTCTTGCAGCCCATTGAACCGTGGCAGGTTGTGCTGCAGCCACTGTTTGATCGGTAACTTATAATTTTGCAGCGAAGCCATTTTTTTTTTTTTTTTTTTTGTTAAACCAGCATTTTGGGTGATATCAGCCAGCAAGATCTTGCAGGGAAATATTAATTATAAAAAATAAATTAACAACTCTCCTGGAGACGAAGGCGCTGCTGGACGAGCCCCATCCCGTGGTGAGCTGCATGGGGCTGAACTAAATATAATCGAAGCTTTTTTTTTTTTTTCCCCCCCGCTTTATAAAATTTCCTGCTTAATAAGCAAATCCACGTGACCCTGTGAACGACTGACCCGATTCTCCACGAAGCCGCTCTGTTAAATTTTGCCAGTTTTGGAAAACCGTTAACCAAACAACAAGGGGTTTTCCCCATTTGCGGTATGGCTGCGCTTGCCCAGCACTCCATTGCTGTGCTCTCCTCCGAGCTCGTTTTGCTCTGCCAGACAGTTTTTCCCCCCCAAAAAAGGGGTCCGAACAATGGCTTTTTGGTTAAAACCTGCCCGATTTCTAGTTTAATCTGCACAGAGAGCAAATTAAGCCCAAATCAGGTAAATCACACATTCACGGCGCATCCTTCAGGCGCTGCTGCTTTGTATTTATTTCCTCCGCTTTCTTCATCTCCTTTGAGCACGGCAGCAACTGAGGGTTCATTTTACCAGTCTTCAGCAGCATTTTTCACCAAAAGGAGAGGTTTTTTCAGCCCAAAATTGGTCAAAGCTTCCTTGAGGGATCCCAATCCCTGCTCATCTTCCAGCAAATCCCCACCGGAGACACCGCTTGAACGCCTCTTTTTTGTAGCACTCCTCAACCCTCCATTTTCCACCCCATTTCTACCAGTCCCTGCAATCCCAAACCAGGACTCGTTTCTCCTTAGGGAGGCATTTTTCCATAAAACACTGCCAAAACGGACAAACTGGGTGCTGTCAACCCTTAAAGCAAATCCACAGCAAGGACGGCTTTCTGTAAATCCTCTTTTCCCCGCGTTGGCCCGTTCCTTCCCAAAGTGAGAGTTTAATTCTAATTTTTAGTCTGATTTAATTCAACTAATTTAGGGCAAACACAGGACGATGCACTTAGACCTGGCTTGATGTAAAAACCGGGATTAAATGCGGGGTTTTTAGGGAATTAAGTGAATATCTCAGCGGGCTGCAAACTGAGCGATGCTCGCCTCCTGTTTTCTATCAGATTAGCTTAAACGAGGGGGTTTTGAAGAGATTTGATGCGATGTGGTGAGAAGGAAAAGACGGGGGGGGCACGTCCTGCTCACGTTGGTGCTTGGCTTTCCAGGTGAGACCCCAAAATCCCCGCGGGCTCGGCGTGCTGCCAGCCCCCGCCGCCATGGCGTCGCCGGCCGTCAGCCCCGACTCGTCCTCGCACGAAGCCCTTTCCTCCGTCAACTCAGCCCCGGCGTGTTCACCCACCTCCGACTCGGAAAACCTCAGCCCCGACGAACTGGAGCTGCTGGCGAAGCTGGAGGAGCAAAATCGGTGAGTGCCGGCGGGTATCTGCCCCATTCAGCCTTTTTATCATCCTTTTTTTTTTTTTCAAGTATTTCCCTTAAAATCAAAGGCGCTGCCACAACAACCAGCCGCTTCCCCCCAGCATCGCTCCAGCCGGGGTGAAAACACTCCGGTTTATTATTTTCAAGGTTGTATTTTTCTCTTTGAAAGCAGCAGGGTTTGCTCGTTCAGGCAGGCAAAGGGGATTTCTGGAAGGAGGCGGCTGTTTGGAAATAATAAATAATAAACCCACCCGCTTCAGTGGTGGGTTTTAAACCTGCTCTTGATGGGAAACAATCCCTGAGGCTCGTTTTGCTGAAAAAAATCAGGCAAAAAAGCTCCATCCCTGGCATTAAACCGGTGTTAAAATCAAGCCCTGAAATGTAAATTTCCTTGCAGAGCTATTTTTAAGCAAATTTACTCTTGGAAAAAAAAACCCAAAACACTGAAAATCTGTTTTTTTTTAAACAAATCCATTAAAGAAACCATCCACGGGCAGCTGTTGGCATCTGGCCAGGGCAAGTAGCCCATCGGTGCTGGTTTGGGGGGATATCTCCTCCTTTGGGGCGTTTCTGACGGAATATCTTCTTTTTTGGGGTGGTTTTGGAGGAATCTCTCCTCCTTTGGGGCATTTTGGCCACTCCTTTGTGGCAGTTTTGGGGGAAATACCTGCTTGTTTGGGGGGAATCTGTTCTCCTTTGGGCTTTTGGGAGGGGGAAAATATCTCATTTTTGGGACTTTTTTGGGACTGTTTTGGGGGACTCTCCTCCTTTGGGGCATTTTGGGGGGAATATCTTGGGTTTGAGGGTGAATTTGGAGGAATCTTTCCTCCTTTGGGGCATTTGGGGGGATTAGCTACTCCTTTGTGATGGTTTTAGAAGAATATCTGCTTGTTGGGGTGGTTTGCGGGGAATCTCTCCTCCTTTGAGCTTTTTTTGGGGGGAATATCTCCTTTTTTGGGACTGTTCTGGGGGACTCTCTTCTCCTTTGGGGCAATTTTGGGGGAACTATTTCCTCTTTTGGAGTGTTTTTGGTTTTGAGGGAATATCTCCTCCTTTGGGGTTTTTGGGGGGTGGAATATCTCCATTCTGGGGGACTCTCTTCTTCTTGGAGGCTGTTTTGGGGGAATATCTCATTCTTCAGGGCATTTTGGGGGAATATCTGCTGTTTGGGGCTCTTTTAGCACGGTTTTGGGGGAATCTCTCCTTCTTCGGGGCTCTTTTGGGGGAGTATCTCCTTTTCGGGGACAGTTTTCAGGGAATTTCTTCCCCTTGGAGGCCGTTTTAGGGGTATATCTCCCTTTTGGGGATGTTTTTTGAGGAATCTCTTCTCCTCGGGGATTATTTGGGGGGAACATCTCCTCTTTTGTGGCAGTTTGGGGGGCTCTCTCCTCCTGTGGGGCTTTTTTGGGGCTATCTCAGTCTCTTACAGGCTACTGGAGGCCGATTCCAAGTCGATGCGCTCCATGAACGGCTCGCGGAGGAACAGCGGCTCCTCCTTGGTCTCCAGCTCCTCGGCCTCCTCCAACCTCAGCCACCTCGAGGAGGACACTTGGATCCTCTGGGGCCGCATCGTCAACGAGTGGGACGAGTGGCGGAAAAAGAAGGAGAAGCTGCTGAAGGTGAGAAAAACGCTTTATTTTTAATTCTGTTTTAACCCCACTGCAAAAAACCTGCAGCGTGATCGTCCCCGTGGCTGGACAGGATGTTGTCTCCCCATCCACAAGGAGCTTCCCCACCTTCTTGAAACCCTTTTTTTTTTTTTTTTTTTTTTTTTTTTGCCTCATTTTTCTGCAGGAGCTCATCCGCAAAGGGATCCCCCACCACTTCCGTGCCATTGTCTGGCAGCTGCTCTGCAGTGCCACCGACATGCCCGTCAAAAACCAATACTCGGAGCTGCTCAAGATGTCCTCTCCCTGCGAGAAGCTCATCCGACGGGATATCGCCCGCACCTACCCAGAGCACGAGTTCTTCAAGGGACAGGACAGTCTGGGCCAGGAGGTGCTCTTCAACGTCATGAAGGTAACGCCTTCCCTCAAACCTCAATGGATCTTGGCCACAGCCTTGGACACCGCTTTGGGTTTTTTGAAGCTTTTTTTAACTGGATACTCATTTTTGATGGGTTTGGTTTCCACCACAAATTCCTGGAATCACCATTTCTTGCAGCAAGGCGACGTCATTCCCCGTCCATCCCACACCTCATTTTTCCTGTTGAGTTTTACTCTGAAATAAGAAACAAATGGTTGAGTATTTCACAGAATCACAGGATCAGCTAGGTTGGAAAGGACCTTGAAGATGATCTAAGTCCAACCGTTCACCTATGACAGTTCCCAACTACTAAGTCGACCCTACTCTCAAACACCTCCAGGCATGGGGACTCCACCACCTCCCTGGGCAGCCATTCCAACACCCAACAACCCTTTCTGTAAAGAAATACTTCCTGACATCTAGTCTAAACTTTCCCTAGGGCAACTTGAGGCCATTACCTCTTGTCCTGTCACTTACTAATAGGTTAAAGAGGCTATTTTGGGGTCTAAATTCAAGTGTGGAGCAACGTTGTGCTCACAGGTGTTGTCAACTAAAAAAAAAAAATGCTAATTTTGATGTTGTGGTCAAGACCTCCCACAGCAAGCAGGGTTGGTGGCCCAGCCAATTCCCCTGCTCACACATATATTTATTATGATTTTTTTTTCCTCCTTCCAGGCCTATTCGCTGGTGGACCGAGAGGTCGGATACTGCCAGGGTAGCGCCTTCATCGTGGGACTGCTGCTCATGCAGGTTTGTAAGGACCCTGGGGTGAGGAGGAGCTGCTGATGGGTTTTTAACACGCTCTGGAGACGTGGTAGAATGGGGTTGGGAAATGAGAGCCTTTTTCTTGATCCTCAGGAATAAAATGAGCTTATTCACCCCATCCCGCTTACTCCTGATGGGTTTAAAATCCCCCGTTCGCATTCCCCTTCACCCAGGGATGGCTCCCAGCATGTCCCATCCCATCACCTGATGGGAAGAGGCTCCAAACCCATCTGCTGGCAGAGTTTTAAGGGTAATTCACGTCCCTTTGGGTCTGCAGATGCCCGAGGAAGAAGCCTTCTGCGTGTTTGTGAGGCTGATGCAGGAATACCGCTTACGGGAGCTCTTCAAGCCCAGTATGGCTGAGCTGGGGCTCTGCATCTACCAGTTTGAGTACATGCTGCAGGTAGGCATCACCCCACACCCCCCCAAAATGCTCAAGGTGGTGGTGACTGTTGGGTAGAGCTGGGGGACAAGGACAGGGAGAGATAGGAGTGAGGTGGCAGCTCTTGGGAGAAATGGGTTCCTCCAACAGAGCTCGTGTCCAGCAACACGGAGATCTTGGGGCCATCTGTGAGATGCCCTGAGGACCATCCATGATTCCTCAAAGGGGATCATGAGTGAGACCCCAAGAACATCCATGAGACACCTTGAGGGCATCCATGAGACCCCAGGGCACCTCCATGAGATGCCCCCAGGGATCGTCTGTGAGACACCCAAAGGGACAATCCATGGGACACCCCAAGGACCATCCACGAGATGACCTGAGAGACACCCATGAGACCCTGGGGACCATCCCCAAGCCCTCTCCCAGAGAGCCTTCCATGAGATCCCTCCACAAGACCTCATGGACCTGTTGAAACCTCCGAAGCCATGAATGAGCCCTAAAATCATCCACCTTTCTGTTTGTTTCCCTCCGTTTCTCACATCCAGGAGCAGCTGCCGGAGCTGAACATCCACTTCCGCTCCCAGAGCTTCCTCACCTCCATGTACGCCTCGTCGTGGTTCCTCACCCTCTTCCTCACCACATTCCCTCTTCCCGTGGCCACGCGCATCTTCGACATCTTCATGTACGAGGTAACCGGCCTGCGGCCAACACCATCAATCACAAAGAGACCACAACCACATTCTCTGATTGGATGTGGAAACATTCTCCCCACACCAACTGGTTTGGTTTTGGGGGAGAAAACCTCCAAACCCACGGTGTGAAAGGTCAAGTGGGGAACTTTTCCCCCAGGGGTTGGAGATCGTCTTCCGCGTGGGGATGGCACTGCTGCAGTTCAACCAGGCTGAGCTCGTCCAGCTCGACATGGAGGGCATGTCCCAGGTACGTGCCTATGGCTTTTGGGGTGGATTTAGCCCACAGGACGTGTTTTTTGGGTGAATTTGTCCAACAGGATGTGTTTGGGGATAAATTTATCCAGTGGGACATGTTTTGGGGTGGATTTAGGCAACGTGACGTATTTTGTGGTGGATTTGTCCTAGAGGACATCAAAAGGGATGGATTTTGGGGCAGATTTGTCCAAGGGGATGTAAATTGGGGCAGATTTAGCCCCAGATTTAGTGGTTTGGGGCAGGTTTTTCCCAACTGGATGTGTTTGCAGACCAGTTTATGCAGCAAGCCACATTTTGGGATTGATTTATGCAATCAGCTGTATTTTGGGTTTGCATGACGGGCTGTATTTTGGGGCTGGTTTATGCTATAAGTTGTATTTTGGGGTGTATTTATGCGATGAGGGTGTGTTTGGGGGCAGATTTATCCAACAGATAAACAATTTTGGGGGCTGGTTTTACCCAATGAGCCCCACTTTAGGGCTGGTTTACATGATGGCCTGTATTTTGGGGCCACATTTCATGGCTGGTTTCTGCTCCTGCAGTACTTCCAGAAGGTGATCCCACACCAGTTTGACAGTTGCCCCGACAAACTCATCCTCAGGGCCTTCCAGGTCAAGTACAACCCCAAGAAGATGAAGAGGTGAGATGGAGAGACGGGTTCCTGTGCTTGGGTGGGGTCCCAGCAGCTGTGGGGCACAGGGCCAGGGGATCTGGTCCCTGTCCTCGTGTCCCAGCCTGTCCCCATGTCCCGAGCAGGCTGGAGAAGGAGTACGCCGCCATCAAAAACAAAGAGATGGAGGAACAGATTGAAATCAAGGTGAGACGGGGTCAAGTGTTGGCATCCTGGGGCTGCTTGAACCATCCTCATGGCCACCTGGCCCATCCCCAGGGCCAGTTGAGCCCTCCTGGCATGGTGTAGCCCATCCCTGAGGCCATCTAAGCCATCCAGGAGCCACTTTGGCCCCTCCCAGGGTCACTTGACCCATTCCCAGAGCCATTTGAGCCCTCCTGGCATGTCATAGCCTATCCCCAGGGCCATTTAAGCCATGCCAGGGCCGCTTTGACTCATCCCTGGGGTCACATTAAGCCACCCAGGGCCGTGTAGCCCATTCCTGGGGACACTTGAGCCATCTCAGAGTGACTTTACCTCTCCCTGGAGCCACCTGACCCATCCCTAGTGTCCCTTGAACCATCCTGGGACAACTTCGCCCATCCCCAGAGCCATCCAGGGATCACTTTGACCCATCCCATGGCCATTTAAGCTGTCCCCAGGGCCACTTAGCCCATCCTGGGTACCCTTTAGCCTGTCCCCAGCACCTTCTGAGCCATCCCCAGGGCCACTTGAGCCCTCCTGGGGCAACTTCCACCTATCCCAAGGGCCACTTAAGCCATCCCAGGGCCACTTGACCCCTCACAGAGCAGTTTGAGCCATCCCAGGGCCACTTTGAGCCGTCACTGGGGATGTTTAGCCCATCCCTGGTGCCATTTGAGCCAGCCCTGGGGCTATCGAAGCCATCCTGGGGCCACCATGACCCATCCTAGGGCCATCAAACCACCCCTGGGACTAATTCCTCCCCATTTTTCCACCCCCCCCAGCGCCTCCGCACTGAGAACCGCCTGCTGAAACAGCGGATCGAAACCCTGGAGAAGGTGAGCCCAGTAACCAGCACCCCAAATCCCTCCTGGGGGCACCCCAAAACCCCCTGTGGGCACCCAAATCCCCCCTGGAGCACCCAAAATGTCCCCTGGGCCACCCCAAATGCCCCTGGGGCACCCATGTCACCTCTGCCCAGAGATCCCAGCACCCATGAGTGTAACCCCACACCCTCCAGCACCCCTTTTATAGGCTGCACCCCCCAAAATGCCCCCCTCCCAGCACCATTTTGCTGCAAAAATCAGAGATTTAAGTCCGGCGAGCTGCTGCTTCATCATTTTTCCACAAAAAGGCTCCCTCCAGGAGGTGGGAAACGCTCCGTTTGAGCGCAAAACACCACCACCGCCGTGTTTCCCCCCATGCCGAGGGGAAAAAAGCTAAAATCCTTGGAAAACACCCCAGA